CGTCCATCCACCCATCCACCCATCCACATCCACATCCACATCCACATCCACATCCACATCCACATCCACACCCACTCCCACACCCACTCCCACTCCCTGCCCACCCACACCTCTGCTGCCCCCCCTCGCTAGCGCCTTGCACGCATCCGCGTCTGGCCTCCCGGCCGTAAGAGGGCGCGAGGGGCCCTGCTGGCGCCGCATGGGTCATGGACGGGATTAGGTCCCCCGCTGCATGCCATCGTCGGTGGGTCGCCTGCTCTTCACATTGCAGCAGCGCGTTCCCCCGCAGCCAGCACAAACCAGTGACATGCCTGCCTCGCAAGCCGCCCCTCGACCAGGGGCCGCCAGCCGGTTCATCCTCTGCCTGTGCCGCGAGCGGAGCTGGATTTACTCGAATCCCAGACCCTTTTGACTCTCCCGTGAGACTGTACTCTTTGTGCGACCCAGCGCCTCTCTCCCTCTGTCTGCCTGTCTGCCTGCCAACCTCTTGTCCTTGCCGCCGCCGCCGCTGACCCGCCAGTGCCATCGCATATAACCACGTCCTGCCATGATGGGGAGCGAGTGGCATCCACGCAGGCACCCGCAGCCAGACCAGAACCACTTCTCCCCGCGCACCCTGCCCAGCTTTGCTGAGCTGACGTCGTCGTCGTCGTCCGACTCGCTGTTGCACCGGCCTCGCGACTCTGTGCCACCTCCGCTCCCTCCACCGCTGCCTCCGCCATCGCAGCAGCCACAGTCTCTACCCTCCGCAGCCCTCGACCGCCCGGCCTCGCGCTCTACGCCGCCCTCTGCCCATTCGTCGGCCGACTTTGCAAACCCCCAGCCCGCCCTCGACCGCGCTGCCTTTACCCCCATCAACCACGCGAGCCCGCACGTCAGGTAAGTGTCGTCGCCGCCGACGTGCCTGTAGCCATAGTCGCACATGGCCCTCGCCGAAACACCATGCCGTACGTTTGCTTACCCGCTGTCCAGCCCCACCAACACCAGAATTCCCCCAGTCGCCACTCAACACCACCAGAGGTATTCGCATTCGTTACCACACACCACCGCCGCCGCCGCCCCATACAGCCCCCCGCTGTCGTCGGCACCGCCCCAACCCCAACCCCAACCCCTGCACGACACTGCCCAGTCGCAACCATCAATTGTCAACGCCCGCCAGGACTCGGCCGTTGCCCAACATCCCTTCGATCATCAAAAGGACTCGGAGCCTTCACTGCCATCCTCCGTCTTTGCCTTTTCGTATTTTCACCCGCCCGTCGGCAACCGCCGCCAGTCGACGTCTTCTCGCCCCGTTTGCCATCCGCCGGGGCCGTCTTCTCCGCACTCTCCCCCTGGCGAGTCCCGCCCCAACCAAAGTCAGCCGCCACCTCCGCCTCCGCCAGCAGAAAGCGGCCTGCGAAACGTCCACTCTTCAGCACCGCCGCCCGCTGCAGAGCCCGCGAGGTCGCCCCAGCAGGCGCGAGGCTCTCTCGCAACCGCCAACACAGATACGGCCTTTAGGAACCCCCTGCCTTCTCCCACGCTTGACCAGACCAACGGCAGTGGGCGACATTCCCGCTACAACGTCCGATTTAACACAGTCTACACTTCAGAAAACATGCCGCCAAGCCAGAAGCCCCGGAACGACCCCCCGCCCGCGGTGCCCCCAGCGGCAGAGCCAAGCGAGGAGCAAACAGCGACGTCGGACCAGAGTGTCACGCCGTCGGTAGAGCCCGTGACGCCTTCAGCCATGGTTCCTGTACAGTCGCCTGAAGAGCAGCCGCAGCCGCAGCAGCAAAAGGACCCTCAATTAGAGCGGTGTCCGGGGTGCCAGGAGCCCTGGAGGCGGCCGCTACCTGGCGAGGACCAGTTTCGGCTAAGTTCGCCAGCACAGAACATGGGCGAGCAGCTGGCCCTGACACAGGATTTCATCAAGCGGCTCGAGAACCACGCCAAGTTTGCTGATGAAGCATACCTCACCTGGAAGCGGAAACACCGGTGGTGCGTGCCCCAGACAAACAGCCCGTCTGCTACCGAAGCGCCGGCAGCAGACACGCGCAGCAAGAGCGAGGAGGGCCATTCTCCCACCGAGGCGACGCCAGCCTTGACCGTGTCGGCCAAGCGCAAGTCGGAAGTGCCGCATGAAGCGTCCAAACACCGCAAATTCACAAACTTCGAATCTCAATCTAATGCCACGCCGCCCGTCCGTCCTACTGCGCCAGCGTAATCACGAACGGCTTGTATCACGCCCCATCTACGACCCTTCTTCATTGGACTAAAGTCTTCGTTCCGTTCGCATCCGCATCTGCATCTAGGTTGGTGTTCGTGTCTGCAAAAAGAAAAAAGAGATGGCCTCTGCTATACCCCCCCAAATCCGGGGGTCGTCTCACTTTTTTTTTTTGCTGTGGGACATTTATTGTTGGCATTTGGCACACAAGTTATATCTTTTTTTTTTCTCGTTTCACTTTATACTTTATTTTGTATGTTGATTGACCAGGTACATTGCTACAGAGGGATTCCGCAAAGAGACGGACAGGAAAAGGATATCTAGGCGTTGTCATTCTTAATGGTGTTTCCCTTGCCAAGGGGGGTTTATTTCACCGTCACTATGGTCTGGAACATGAGCGGCATCCGCGGCGGCGCTTGCACACGCCCCCGAATCGGTGGGCTCCACGACGCCATGTATCCGACGCTGTATGCAACCATTGCTTCGCCTGTGTGGTTTCCTGCAAAAGGCAGGCGAGACAAGAGACGGGGAACATTACCTCAAGATCGATCGAGATACTGTAAAAGTTTGTTTTAGTGGCCGGCTGCCCTCTCTCAACAAGGCTCTAGGTTTCGTACCGAACCGCTTTGACACTGGGCGCTCGTGCGGGGCATGCGCAGCCCAATACCCTTGTTTTTGGCACGGGATGCTGGGGTCCTAATCTTGATTAAGGTTTAACAGTCTCGCGCTTGAGCAACAGGGTCGCGTCAGTAGGAATCGGATGCATGCATGTCCGGCAAGGGAGCCAACGTCTGGTCAAGATGAGATCACATTTGGGTATATAGCAATACCGTCTGAATATACAGCCATGCCGTCCACTGGACAGCGGGCGAGGCGGGTGGGGCCTAGAGGGGGGGGGGGCGAAGAGGGCGAGGCGGAAAGAATAGGTACATGTTACAGACGCCACAAAAGGCCCGTCTGCCAAAGAGGAAAAAAAAGAGGGCTATAATGCGAAACATACCGCCACCCTGGTCCGTCACGATGCACGTTGTTGTCTTGGAAGTTTAGAAGCAAAGGAAAGAAAGAAAAAAAAGACGCGCACAGGGACAGGCAACAAGGCGAGTTAGAGACGGACAAGAAGTGGACATGGCCCTGGAGCCAAACCCACGGGCGGCAATTTTACAGGCCCAACAAAAGCTTTAGCCATGGCTATGATGCAGCGCCAGTCCCACTCGAGGCAAAAGTCGCAAATCATAGGGTCGGAATTCTTTCCAGCTTACGCTATGCGATTACCTGCATGACTAGCCACGCCCTTAGATTCTGCTGCTTGCTGAAACGGCATAGAAGGGACACGGCTGACGGCTGCCGAGCGGGGCTTCCCGAGTCGTCAACGCTGTTGAACTGGCGCGGTAGCGAATCATGCTGTGTCGCGCGAGTTCCCTCTTCAGGCAAAGCGGAGGCATTCGGCGGTGCCTGAGGGTTGGGGCGTGCAAAAAAAAATTGCGGTGCAGGCGCGATGCGCGGCCGGCGAAGTGGGTGCACGGGAGGAGGGGGAGGGGAAGGGGGAGGGGGGAGCAGAGGGGCCGGGAGAGCGAGAAAGAGAGAGAAGGAGAGGCAGAGCGAGGGGAGAGAAGAGCGAGTGCGGGAGGAGGAGGGAGGGAGGGAGGGAGCATGGCGGGAAAAGGAAAGAGAGCGACTACGAGGGAAAAGGGTTTTGGTAAGCGGCAGTTGGGGGACTAGCAGAGGGCGGCGTGGGCGGTGATTGGCGGGCAGGCGTGTGGATGGGCTCGCTGCTGACGCGGGGCGGGGCGGGCTGGCGGAGATCTCACACGCAAAATCAAACAAAAAGGTTCGCGGCGGCAAGGACAGCGCACGCAGCTCGGCAGTACTCGAACAATGACCTCATCATCAGGCCAGCTCGCCGGGTAGGGTAGCCATGCGCATGGGGTATTTTTTAGGGGTGCGTGGCCAACCGTTTACGCATTCTGGTCCCCCAGCGACGGTTCTCTGGCACTGGCGCGCTCACAGGCACGGTAGTGGCAGCGGCGCCGCGAGCCACGCACTCCGAGCATGGAGCCGTCGCTTAATATGGACAGAATGGGAGCCTGCTGGGGGACGACGTGTGAGCCTGTGTGAGGTGAGGCCATGCTCATGGGCGGCGGACCCGAATGCATGAGAAGTGTCTCAAGGATGGCCAGACGATTACAACGGCTGTGTCGAGAAAAAATAGCTTAGTGCCGATCGCCCGGAGCAGGTGACAGCTTGGGGAAACGGAGCGTCACGAGGCCACGGGTTAAGCTTTAGCGCGGGCGAAACTTTGTCGCGTCATGCGAACGGCTGGCGTCGCGGGTGTGGGCGAAGCTGGCGGGCAAGAGAGAGAGAGAGAAAAAAAGGGACGCGGGCGCGAGGCTCCCGACGACGGAAGGGGGCAAACAATGATGCGTTTGCAGCAGCGCGCCTGAGATGGACGGTGGAGACCTACTAGATACAAGATTCGGACCGCAACGTGATTGCAGTCCTGGCACTGGCATGGGGGGGGGGCTCTCCGAGGTGGCTGCTCATCGTGATGCCGAGCAGGCAGTCTAAAGTGCCGCGACCTAGGCAAGCTGCGGCAGACATGGGCAGCGAGGGTTTCTGGTGGCGTGAGACGCAGACCATTTGTCTGGCCGTCATGTGAGCTGACACGGGCGCTGTGTGTCTGTTTCGCTCGCTCGCTCGCACGCTGCGTGTGGTGGTGCTAGATGTGCTAGATACATGGGCCATGGCAGTAGCAGTAGTGGTAGTAGTAGTGGTGGTGGTAGTAGAGTGGTAGTAGTAGTAGTAGTAGCAGTAGTAGCAATAGTAGCAGTAGTAGGATGGACATTGATGCAGCAGCAGAGAAGCCACGTAGCCGTCGGCAACAACAAGCACAGCAACGCAACAACAGCAGCACAAAGCGCGAGGGGCGGCGCAGGTCGAGCGCGTCGCCTGCGAGTGCACATTTTAATCTCCTATGCATGAACCCCCAACGCTCTAGACGCGTTACAAGAGTCGCGCTCTTTCCGCATCTGGCGGGGCGTGGACAGGACGCATCTATACCCAATTCCGCTTCCCCAGCTTGGCGATGCATCATCGACGGACGGCGGGAGGGCACAGACAGCTCCCGTCCGCATCGGCGAGTCACGGCCCCGGTCGCCCACACGCTAGCCGCAACCTCGAGTCACGCCCGCAATCACCCTGCGGCCCCGGCTCTCCCCTACCCTTACCCCCCCAGCACCAGCACCAGCACCAGCACCAGCACCAGCTCCAGCTCCAGCTCCAAGCTCCAAGCTCCAAGCTCCAGGCTCCAGGCTCTACGCAGCACCAGCACCAAGCTCCAAAGCACCAGCCCCAGCAAGCTCCAGCTCTCCAGCTCCGGCTCCAGTCCCCGTCCCAGCACCCAGCACCCAGCACACGCCAGTCCCAGCACCACGCTCCCTCTCCTGCTCCCTCGCCTCGCGCGGAACCTGGACCTGGCCCTGGCCTCGACTCGTCGACTCCCGCAAACAAAACTGCGACACCAACACATCTTGGACAAACTGCCGCCGTCGCCGCCGCCGCCCCAAGCCGCCCGGGGTGCCGGCCAGTTTCCCCCGTGCAGGCACGTGCTTGACACACTGTCAGCACTCCCCAGCCGTGTCTGCAGGAGAACCATACTACTCGCAGCCCTAGTCGTGCCAGCTGTCAATGGACGGGGCCTTTTATGCAACCTGGTCGTAACAGGCAAGAGACGGCCTGCGGTTGCATTGGGCCGGCAGCCTTTGCCAGCCCGACATGGCCCCAGGACGCGACATGATCATCGCCAGCGATATAGATTGCCTGCACATCAAGCGTCATGTACTGGCTATCGATGGATGCATGCATGCATGCCTCAATCCAGCCATGTAAGTACTGTATGCCCAAGACGATGCTGCAGTGCCTCTGCAAGAGAGGGAGGGGGAGGGGGGCAAAAAACGGCCGCTATCAAGCTGCGGCGTAGGCTACGCACAGCATCATGGCTAATGCCCCTCTCTCAGCGAATCGGAAACCGGCGGCTGCCAAGCCTCTACTCGCCGCCCACTGGTGCACGCCTGTGTAAATGTATCCATATCTAAAACATGTCCCCTTTGTTATGTCACAGGCTAGGCCTAATCATGGCAAACAAGTCTCCGGACCTTTTTTTTTCTGCTCACGCCGCCGTTCGAGTCAATCATCCAGCAAAGCTCGCCTCACTCTTCACACACCGCGTCATCGCGACAGGCCCCGCTATGCAGAGGCGGCGATCATCACAAAAACCCCCCGTCACCGCGCACTTGAAAAAAAATGTCTCTTTTTAATTCCAGATATAGCACCGCCGCACGCGAGACTGGTACTGGCAATCGCCGCACCGCCGCATGAACCCATGCAAGGGGCCTTCTTCTAATGTACATGAGTAGCCATCACGACGCCAGGATGGCGACTTTATCCTACCAAGCCGCCTCGGATCAACCACGCACACGCTTCTCTTGCTACTGACTGGCTGGTCCTCGATTCCGATGTGTAGGGGTACCGCGATACCACAGCCGCCCTTTGCAACCCCCATCTCTTCGCCCGCCGCCGCGTTACACATCGATCTTGTACCACGCACCAGGGATGGCACGCCTGCCGCATCTCGTAATTGTCTCCGCGTCCCACCCTTGACTCGATCCTTGGACTTGTCTCTTCACCCGAGAGGATCGGGTCTTCTACCCGACTGCTATTCCAAGGCCATGTGTGTGTAGTACAGATGGAATGCCGCATCTAGATCGTGGCTATCGAGATGTTATCGAGATTGCCCGTTCTAGCGGGTGGCTAACGCTAGACTCGGCCCGCCACTCAGCGTCACGTATACCAACACGCTTGCAAGGCACCCAACTTTCCGTTTCCTACGCCTACCAAACACGGTCGTGAGTGCAGATGCACGTCACCAAGACATACGCAATATCAAGGCATGCCACTTTTGTCCCCGGCCTTGGGTGCCGCACCCCTCTGGCCCGTTGAAATTGCAACGTCTGCATGTACTACATGCCCCCCCGAAGATTCCCTGCGACACTACTGCTCTCTCACCGCACTTGGCATCGCTTAGGCATAAAAAAAAGGGCATGCTCCGTCCATGGTGACGCCAAATACGACGAGCAAGTGACCTCGGTCTGCTATGCCGTCCAGTCGTTTGTCGGCGGGCAGTGGCAAGTTGGTGTTGATACAAGATTGCTGATAGCAAGCCTCAGTATTGACAGGTATCGCTGGTTGACAGGCAGGGGAAACCCATCATGAAGCGTATTAAACCGGGTTCACATGCTAACTCTGAAGACCCCAAGATAGAAAAAACAAAAAACTGGGAAATGTATCCCGGACCTCTCAGGTTGAGCGCCGCGCTGACCTGCATAACGGCTTTGGGGACGGGAAGGATGAAAAGGAAAAAAAAATAAAGGAAAAAGTAAATACATCACCCGACGTATCTGTGACAACGTTGGACCCGTTACATGGCATCAATGCTCAGATTCCAGTCACATTTAGTACACCACGAATTCCAGACGCATAGCTCGTGTGAAACTGGGTTGTTGTGCTGTATACGGAAGGCAAAGCGATTCAGTCGCCGTCCTGATACCGGTTGTCATGACTAGTTGTAGGTATTCACACAAGGCAGCCGATACCAAGTTGTCCTCCATTATCCCCTTCGAGACGGGTCTCGACCCGGCCCCCAGGCTGCTGGGCTGTCTGACGCTAGCGAAACATGACACTGAAATGGAATCCGTGCCCACGCTTTCTTCCCTCTTTCACCTGCCCTGCCCTGCCCTGCCCTGCTGCAGCCCTGTCCGCCATTTCATTTCATTTCATTTCATTTCCTTTTTTCTTTTTCCTGAAATCTGGCCATTCACAACTCCAACTTTACCGCTTCGAGGTAGTAGTCTCTCTCTTCCCTTGGCGGCGCACGTTTCCCATTCCTTCTTCTCACCTCTTTCCTTTTTCTGTTCTGTTTTTTTTTCTAAACTCTCTGCAACCCCCCTAACTTTGCCGAATCCGACACTGGGTCGGTTGCTCGGTCGCGTAAGCGAGCTTTGCTGCGGGGTGGCCTTGTTTGCAATAGACGACATGGGAAACGGGAAGGATTTGGCGAGATTGAGCGTGGCTGGGTTGGCCGTGGCACTAGCGCTATGTATGTACATATCTGTGTATGTATCTATCTATGTACACCCTATGTATGTATGGATGTATGTACGTGATGAGGGTATGATGGGCACACGGCGCCGATAACACATGTGAGTATGCATATACCGAGAAAGGTAAAAACATAATAAATGTAGTTGACGTGGCTACGGTGGCGACAGCAGAGACGAGGCCGTTGGGGCGCGCTGCTGCGTCTTGGTAGCGGTGGTGGTGGTGATGGTGGTGGTCTGGCCGGCTGTTGGTGTGGTCGGGCACAAAACAAGAAAAGAAAAAAAGTTGCACACTCGAGTTTGGTTGCGCCATGGTGCGCGTCTCGTAGGACGACCTGGGGGGGGGACCGAGTTTGGAATCAATGGGATGAAGGGGGTGGAGACTGATGGCGCTGCTTAGCGGCCGCTGTCACATGGGCTTGCAAAGCCCACAGCTTCTGGAAACCAAAAAACAACTGCCTTTCTCTCTCTCTCTCGTGTAGTGGTGTGGTTTTTTTGGCTCGCGTGGATGCGAGACAAGGCCATTGATTGGGCATGATGACTGCAGACGCGAGGTGTGTGTGTGTGTGTGTGTGTGTGTGTGTGTGTGTGTGTGTGTGTGTAAGCATACGTATTTCGTGTTGGGCATCATTGTCATGACCATCATCATCATTATTGGCATCGTAATCATCATGTCCATCTGCTTCAGCCAGCCCAATGGGTGGCTTTCCCGTGTGGCGAATATTTATGTCGAGTAGCCGCTGCTGCTGACCTCCATCGTCTATCGTCCACCCTCTGACGCCCGCACGCTATTGACTTTTTCCGTCTCTAGCCCACCTGACCAACACCACCACCAACACCACCACTACCACCAAGACCTCACTTCACTCGTAGCGCGCCGCACTCGCTCAGCTCTCTCAAACACACGCCGGATGCCATGTGCGAATCACAGCCTCTGGTTCCACCATGACTCCATGTCCCGACCTGCCTTTGAACGGACAAGCGCTGTTTCCTGAGCCCCTCAGCCCTGTCGACCAGCCAGCCCACTGCTTTCCGCCTTGCAGAAGCTAGCTTCTACGAATGACACATGGTAGCGACACGCCCACGACAACTAGGTGCACGACGCGGGTACCCAAGGGGTGGGAGGGGGTGCAGCAGGACAGAGCGAGCGAGGGGGGTTGGTTGGTGGGTGCGGCACACTTACCAACCAAGCGCCTGACGCGCTTTTGAACGTGGTAGTAGTCCATGGACGTTTGGGGTGACTTTTGGGTACGCGCGTTCCCCATGGCCCTCTCATGGCCTCGCTTCAGCCCAAACCCTCTTTTGCCGCGTGATAGCAGCCACGGGCGAATCATGTTGCGCAGCGCCCGATACGGTGGCCCCCCGTCCTGGCATGGTGCGTGTGGATGGGTGTGCGCCCGATAAGTCTGGAAGCTCGGCAGAAACGGGGTTACTCCTGGTAAGGCGACCGTCTGCTCAACAGCGAATTGCCATGTTGCAAAGTGCCATGTAAGGTGCATGTGTCGTGAAGCTACTACACTAACATTGCAACCCTCTGGTTCCCTGGCACCCCTCTTCCCTTCCCTTAATACTACACCTGCTATTACTGTCGGCTCCAAGGACAAGGGACCCCCCCTCCCCTCTCTTCCTAGTACTCTTCCTAGTACTACCATCGCTTCCCACCTTCTCTTTCCTGGTCTACTTTCTTTTTTTTTCCGACACCTCTTGGGTTGGCGGAGATGAGCGCGGTCGAGTAGAGACGAGTCGAAACGATGCGAGCATGGATGTTGCTTTGACCACATTCCTTTTTTGCATTTCCCCCCCTCCCATCCTTGAACGTCCAAAACCATGGGACCAGGGCTTATCGTCGAGAGTTTCTTTCTTGTGGTTGCACGCCTGCATATCTCGACATTCAAAGGCGCGTATGCAGCCCAGAAAACGAAGCAAATTAAAGGGACCGATGGGAAAAGACGAACAAACACAGAAAGAAAGAAAGAGAAAAAAAAGACAAGGAAAGACGAACCGACGACTTGCCTTGGATTGATCGACAATGACGCTATTCAGCTCACCCACTCGGCAAGCAAATAAAGGTTGTCGGTACTTGGTTGCCGTATGCCGTCAGTGTCATGCAAAAACCATATCCTCGACTACTTGATTGCTAGCACGTTTGGGATTTGCAGTTTCGCGCCGGTGATTGGCCACGGGATTCGCGATCTTCCAAATCGCCCCCGTAAATAGCGTGCTCGTGTCTGACTGAGTGGTCGTCGTCGTCGACGGACTCAAGTCCGTTTAGTTTTTTGGCCCGAAATGCCTTCTTCAGCATCCTCGTCCTCCCGTCCCCCTTCCCCCTTCGCTCCATCGAGCCCAAAACCCGTCATGTTGGAAAATTCATGGCTACGTATCCTGGCCTTGGATGGAGGTGCTGGGAAGAGAGGGAGAGAAAGGGGGGGGCGCCCACGGGGCTGAAGGCTTAGTGTGATGGTTGGCCGCGCTAGGCGGCGCCGCTTGTTAGAGAGCAAGGTTTGAAGCTTTCGGGACAGCACACCCACACCCACACAAACACACATACTTGTTCTTTCTCTCTCCCCCATGACTTTTAACACCGGATAAACCGGTAGTGTGTGTGTGTGCTGTGCTGTGCTCAGCTTCCATGTTTGCTTCTGAGGCTTTTTATCCGTACCGTTTTGGCGGCGTTTGGGGACATGGCTGACGCGTATGTATGCTGGGTTTTGTTGAAAGGTGGCTTTTCTTTTGTGGTTTGGTTTGAGGTGTCCTGGGTTCTGCTTGCTGTGGTGCAATCTGTCATCTCTCATCATCGTCATCATCATTATCAGCAGCAGCAGGACAAGTGTAGTGGTAGCGTGATCTTTGCCAAGTGTCAGAGCCTAGACGGCAGGCTGTGTGTATATCGCTTCTCCAATGAGGGTATGTGAATTGGTATACGCTCTGTTTGCAGTACATGTACATGTACATGGCGCTCTCTCACGTGCCAGGGCTCTTCGGAGAGAGATCAGGGTCCTTAGCATGCGGGCTGACCATGAACATCAGGGTCCTGAGGGGATGCTACAATTTCCAAAGTTTGTTTTGGACATAGTCCCCAATGGCAACGTTCGTGTCCCTCTCTGCTTACAAGTCGGCCTGGGTGGGGTCTTACGCAACACAGGCCCGTCTAGCCTATTGGGGCAGGAGACCCTGAACGTTGCTTCTGACCCCCCCGTGTACACCTAATGCTATATTGTTGAATTTGCATAGCCACTGTTTTACAAGCATGGTGATGGCTTTTGCTTAATGCATACATGCCCGTAAATGGTTAGGCATAGTCTTTGCCTACGGTTGATGTAAGATATCCCGCCACACAAGTTTCAAGTGGAGACACTGAGCTAAATAGTCACCATGTATTTATCAATGTGATAGTCTCTGTTTCGATATAGCGACTAGTAATCAACTATTGTCTCTGCGACCAAAAAAAAAGAGGTACGTCATGGATCGCCGTACGTAGAGAAGACGAGTCGTGGCTGACACCCCGTCAGTCTTGTTACAGTGTGTCAATCCAAGCTGCAGGCATTAGAGTTTTGCCCTTTCAAAGTCTATCGTCCCCTCGGGCAAAAGTTATTCGTCCTACCACTAAGCGGCTATCTGGCCTACCACTTAGCAGGGGTCTGCATTAGTGCGGGCGCATCCAAACTATATAGAGTTAGCACTGTAATATAATAACTTAGCACTGAATATTGTGACCGACTTAGCAACTAGATAATACCTATCTAGTATAGAAGCTTAGTGTTTTTGTTTTAGGCGAGCTAGCAGCCCCTAAGGCACCTACACTATCACCATACAACGCGCACAAATTATTAAAATATTGTTAATATTACTTAATTACTATATCGCCTTTAAGCCACAACGCCGCTTATATTATTAAGACTGCTAAACAGCTAGATTGCTATACAATTAAGTTAGACTTTAGTGAAGATGTGTCTGTTTAGGAGGGCTCTAACACTAATTCTAATGGCTTTAGTAGATAGAGCGATTCTGACGAGCCTGACGAGCCTGCAGCTCTAGAAGCTGTTCTGGCTCTAGCCTATGAAGCTATCGCTAGCGACGTTTTCCCACCCTAGTGTACCTAGCTAGTTGATAAGTATAGGCCTTGTTGTAGGGCTTATAGTAAGCTTCGTGGTATTGCGGACTGCGATCTTAGTGACCTATAGGAGGCTTTAACACGCGCCTAAGAGCATACTCCGCCGCTAGAAGTGCTGTATAACAGCCTCGCGGAGGCGGAGGCTGCAGCTAAGGCATAGGGAAAAGAACGCGGCGTTCTATATAGTTAGAAGAGGTGGAAAGGTAAGGGTAAAATTTAACTTTTTATGGTGTGCAACCGCTTAGGTAAGGCCAGGAAGCTTAAGAATAGTGCTGCACCAGGCGTACGGGCTAGTGCAACGTCGCAGAAAACGAGCTGTAGAATAGGTTTTTAGATTTTAGCAGAAGACTACCTTAATTAGGAAGGTTAGTGGAGGATAAAATAGATAGAGGGAAGGAAAAGTTTTCTCTATAACTACCTACTAGTGGAGAATATTTAGGCGTTTGCGAGAAATTATTAGGAGGCGCTAGTAGTAGTGCTAGCCAAGAGGCTAAGGTTAATTTAGGCTGTATCGCGAGGCCTAAATTATGCTGTAAAAATGCTGCGCGAGCAGTTTCTAGAGGTTTTTATGACGCGGCAAGACGTTAAAAACTGTTTCGCAGCATTCTATTGTTAGGAACTAGGGCTAAACACCTATATAGGCCTATTGTTAAAAGAGATAGAGTAGGACAAGTATTAGTTTCAGTAAGTAACTATCTTAATAGTTCTTTAGTGTTCAAGTTTCTTCTAGTGCATAGATATCTAGATAGCTAATACTAATTATCTAATTAGTCAAAATTATCGCGCTAGCTCACTAGCGCTGTTTTCTAAGAACACTAGAATTCTCTAACGCGTCTCTAGGCACGGCGTTAACGCTAAGAATCATATTACCTACCTTATTTTTATCCACCTACGCTACTTTAAGACCTGTAAAAAGTTGCTAGACGTGCTTATTGTTAATTACACGTATAACACGAATAAATACAACTATCCCTTACTTAATTTAGTTAGTTTAAATAGGTATAATTGCATAATACACCTAGGCGTCGCGCTTATCCACACCTAAGATAAGGCCTTATTTAGCTGGGTACTACGCTACTTTAAGGACCTATTTAAAATAGAGAAAATTACTGTACGCGTCTAGTTAAGCAATTAAGATTAAGCCTTTCTTAATGCTCTTAAAAAAGTATTTAATAAGCCTATAGTTATTCTCTATTAGTAGCATCCTAATAAGGACTTTATAAGTTACCTATAGCTTAAGCTATCTACTAAATTTAGTTACAATTAGGTAGGTAGAACATAGGTCAATCGCTAGGCAACAGATAACTTCTTTAAGCTTTATTTAAAGCTTCTTAACTCGCCGTTAGAAGCCAATTATAACACCAACCTAGCGGCCTACGAGCGGCGATTAAGGACTGCGATAGTATACCTAAAGCAGTACTAGCTCAATAATCACCGCCACAAACTAGTAAGTTATTATATTAATCACCATACCTACTTTGGCCTTACTACTACTAGTAAGGCTAAAGGCGCTTACTACGTTATTAAGCAATAGTATTGCTTTAGGCGTTAGTAAGGACGTTAGCTTTATAATAGGAGACATAGAAGTCCTATAGCCGCTAGAAAAGTGTTAATATATTAACACTAGAGCTTTAGTGTAACGGCGCAGGTAAGGCAGGTCGGATCTGTTTCGGTCGTAGGATCACTCAGAGGCATATGGGAGTGCGTGGGATCACAAAGAGCCTAGATTCAACAAGCCACCTATAGGCCTTGTACGAAAGGATATCAAAAGTCTACAGAGCTAGCTACAGGGAGTGTCTCAATATATACCTATCCTAGTCGGGTCCGAATTCGGATCCGACCTCGGGCGAATGGCTGATGAAGGGCGGCAGGTACTTCCTCCGATCCGGCTCTGGGATTGGCTCAATACTTGGCGAAGTTGTAACATCGTTACATTTAGATCTAGAATTGGTTATAACACCTAAGATTATATCTTTAGTGTAATAAGTTTTTAAATAACCTATTACGCGCTCTAAAAAACTATAAAATAGCTTATAGTGGCCTAAGCAGAGGTGGCGAAGATGTGGGAAACTAGCTCCTAGCTTCTAGCCTATACTAATTAGTATAGGCCGTTGCTTAGGATGCCTTGCTAGCATCTTCTCGCTAAGCTTAACCTTAACTCTAAGGTGCTCTAGCTATTAGATTTTAATCCACATTAGTGGATTAATTAATCTTAAGCTCTAGAAGTTAAAGTTACTTAAACGCCTCTTAAGCCTGTGCTAATTTTGCAGTAAAAACGGGCGAGAAAATTGCACAAAAAAGGCTCGAGCTAGCGGCGCAAGCCTAGCTTTTTTGAGCGCGCAGATGCTAACAATCTAGCAACTCCACCAGCCGCTCTACCAGCCCGAATGGCGACCCAAGCCCAGCCGCCGGAGCAGCTTACTATACTGCCTCCACCGCAGCCTCCGGCACCCGATCACCACCACCAGGCTCAGCTACACCACCAAGTTTTGGCTGGGATAGCCGCTCCGCAGCTATCCCAGCAGCCTCATGTAGCTCTGCCAGGCTACCAGCCGGGCTACCAGCCGGGTTACCAGCTTCCGCCGCCGCTATACCACCCAGCCGCTCACCCCGCCCACCCGGCCGCCCACCCGATTTTTCAACCACCGCTCGCGTACGGCCCCGCCCACAGAGGCCTCGCGATAGGGCTTCAAAATGGGCCTCCGGGTGCCCGTTTCGGCCACCTCGACCGCCCGGCTGTCGCGCAACATCCCCATCCTCCATACTACTTGCCTCTCCACCCAAATTTACCGTCAAACTCGGGTGGCGAAAGGCGCGATGATGATTGGGAGCCCCATTACAGTCAGCCAACGCGATCGTCGTACTACGCCGGCCATAGCTTTTTCGGTGAGTAGCTAGGAGCCCGTTTTGGGCTGGTTTTTGGGCTATATAGAACACCAAAAATCGAGCAATATAGCTAGTTTTTGAGCCTCACTTTTTTTTTGCTTTTGCGACTTCCGTTTTAGCTGCGCAACACCACTAGATTTTTATTAACATACTAGCTATCTTTACACACTAGAACTTACTATGGCACGGCTATATTACAGTAAGTAATATAAAATACTGCCAATGTTTTAGCCAAGCCCACTAATGCAGACCCCTGCTAAGTGGTAGGCCAGATAGCCGCTTAGTGGTAGGACGAATAACTTTTGCCGTCCCCTCGTCTGTATCAGAGCCTCGACCAGCAAACCTCATTGCTTCTGGCAACAACTGGGAGGAGGAGCAGCGGCATGCAGCCCATGAATTTCACCGAGCAATGTCCCGGATACCGCCACGGTTGAACCGAACGCTTCGGGAAGAAAGAAAAAAACAGCGCAGATCCCAATTTAGCGGATGACGGTGGTTTACCAGGTGAGTAATCTAGCGAGATTTGAATTCACATTAGGTCCTTTTCGTGTTGTGTAATACGAGTATGAGTGGTTCAGCACGCAGGCTCGAGTATCTATATTGCGGCAACGGCCCTTTAGGGGGGGGGTGAGCACATAGCCGTGCCCGGTGACGTAGCACACCGAAAGCGTGCCTATCACACCCAGGTGTTGCACGAGGCGGCAATACGAGTTGATACCGAACACGTGGGTGATGGCCAGGGGCGCGTAGACTGGACCACACAGGGAACAGTGGGTGAGTTTCTGGTCGCCGACCTTATTCCAGACATGGCATCGGAGAGGTGAAAGCGAGCGCACGAAGCCTTTTCCCTCTGCGGCGCGTCCCAACGGTACACACACACGCACCAACGGCATGTTGCGGCCCGCAGTTTATGCTTATATAACGGTGATATTGGGGCCCGGACCGTGTTTCCCAAGACAAGGTCAGCATCCAGAACCGTGGGCACGACTCCCTTCCTATTTCAGCCGCAAGCATTATCGAGCGGCATATTAATGGGAAGCCTACGGAGGTGCCTCACAAAAGTTTTGTCCTGCCAAGAATAATTTAGCCGAAATCTGG